TACTTTTGAAGTATTTCACATTTAATTCTTACTATTTTTGACACAGGAAAACAACTTTAAAACTTTATCTAATTTCAATCATAAAAGTAACCCATGTCTATTTTAGATTATGCAGAAAATACAGATGGAAGAAAAAAATTCCTGTTAACACCTAGAAGTCTTCTACCATATTTCTTTTTAAAAATAAAAATTATGCTTAGTCTAAAAACAATCACTTCTTCTAAATTTCCTTTCTCAGAAACAACTAATTTTAATGTAAGCCTATTCATTTGGTATCTTGTTTTCAAGTTGGAGGCATTGTCTATGGTCTCCCCATCACGGAAGATGAGAAGTTAGCTCTCCTGGTCTGCCACATCCATGCTCTCATCCCGTCTGCTATCTATTCAATATGGTTATGTGTGACTTTGGTCAATCAACATTCCACACTTAAGTTGTTACCGAACGTAAGTCTGTGTGCCTGATGCACAGTGAGGCCAAACAAATCTAAACATTGGAGTTTAGAGCAGAGAAAGGTTTACTGCAGGGCCAGGCATGGAGAACGAGTGGCTCACACTCAAAAGACCCAAACTCCCTGAAGGGTGTCAGCTGAGCATCCTTAAAGGCCATGTGAGGGAGGGGCGTCCCAGGGTACGTGATCAGCTGTGCACAATTCTCTGATGGCTTGATGGTGCTCAATCCTTAGGCGCCAGAAGGTCTGGGGACCACTCGTGCTCATGATCATCAAGTAGTTAATTTCTTCCCTTTGGTGGTGGTTTTTAGCACCTGACAAACTCAGGAAATATGCATGAGATACTATTATCTGGGTACTTCAGAGAAGAGAGAAGACAGAGAATATTGGGGACAGGGTCTGTCCCAGGAAGGCCCCACAGGGTCCTACTCGATTACAACACGATTATTTTGTGCGTGCTGTTTGGAGCTGAGGGTCAAAGCTGAGCTACATGGTATACTAGGAGTATTTTTCCTCTTCTTGCACAACTTGGAAATTCATAATTATCTTGTTTTTCTTTTAACATTTCCTTTCTGGGTATAAACAATGATAGCTCCAGGTTTTGTTGGCATGGGCATTATACAATTTGGGGAACCCACTACAAAATAGAATACAAATTACAAATTTTCAAAAGATGTGAGGAGCCTGGATCCCTAAATCAGTGTCTAGAGGAGAGCAGCTTCCTTAACAGGAACGTCCTTTTTACAAGACGTTATTATATACAGGTTTGTTTTAACAGCTAGCATTACGTAATCTGATTTCTTAGGCGAAGTCTGTTTTGCTTCTGAGGTGCTGTTTTTTTCTTTTTGTTTTGGTCTCTGTCACTCCTATTAAAGGCTTTTCTCAAGTGTCTGCTTCTACTTGATTGTCTGCTGATTTGTAAGAACAGAGGTCTAAGTAGCTGAGTGGTGGTCTTAGTATATGAGCTCTTCTGTAGGATGCTCTAGGTGGCTCCACGTCTGTATTTTTAGGGCTTTTCTTTTGGCTAAGTCTGAATCCCCAGAGACGGCTCTTTCATCTTTTATCTGCCAAGGTTCTGCGTGTTGAGTGGGAAAGTTGGCTTGAGGGTCTCAGAATTCACTGTTCATAGGATCATTAAATCCCCTGGGTATAACAATGTCTTAATTCCCAGTCTTTCCATGCCTAATGAGGTTGAATAGATTTCCTCCTATTTGTTTTTAAGTTAAATTGATTTCTCCATGAGTTTTCTGAGAACTATCACCCCCATTTTATGAACAAGGATTGTAAACTTCACAAGGGAAAAGGGAAAAAAACTGACAGAAGCTGAATTAGTTTCCATCATGTTTAGAAACCTTGCTAGGTGCTTTACATGTGCTGTCTCCTTAAATTTAACTCTCAAAGCAACCAATAGATAATGTCAAACAAACATAAATTGCCATAAGATGGAATAGACATTTAAAAGACTTTATTTTTGCACAGTCAGAGATCAGGGAACAATTACATTATAAAATTTAAAATGAATTGTAATTTACATAAAACTATACATTATAAAATTTAAACCTTTTTCTGAAATATAACTAAGGCAGATGACATTCCAAAATCAACAGAAGGACTCCTCTCCCCAAAATAAAAATTAGTATACCCTTTTCACTAAAAAAAAAGTCATTTTAAAGAGTCAATAAGGGAATGTTGTCTATTTTAATTTGCTTTTTATCAATTTATTGTGTCTATCACAACATGTAAATTGTCACTGTTGTCTTTGTGGGCTGATCTCCCCAAATGGGAACAAAGAAGGGGAGGTGGCCAGTGGGGGGGGGTGTGGAGTTGGAAATCAGAGCCCATCTTGTGGATTTGTTATGCTTTACAACAGCCCCCCTCAGGCCCTGAGAGCAAAAGCAAACATGAATTTCCATTCAGTGTTCCTCAAGATTTCATTAAGAATGTAGAAACTGGGAACAGCAAAGAGATTCTTCAAATGTGATCATGTTAATTCCATTCAACACACACGTGATGCATCAGTTCCTTGTTCTCGTCTTACCTGACCTGTCAGCCGCCCTCAGCATAGTTGATCGTGCCTCCACCTTGAAACACTTCCAGCACTTGGCTTCTATGTCACCACAGCTCCTGAAAGTCTTCCTTTCTGTCCACTCCTACTCAATCTCCTTGAGCATCTCCATCCAAGATTTATAGCTCCAGTCTAACGGTCCCTCCCGAAGTCTAGGCTTAGATTCCTAACACTACTCCCTCTTTCCACCTGGATGAGTGATAGGCTTCTCAAATGTATTACGTCCACAGCTGAGCTCCTGAAATTCTCCCCATCCAGTCTTCTCCATCTCAGTAATGCAGCTCCATTCCCCCAGCTATCTGAGCTCCCAAATTGTAGTCGCCTCCTTGTCTCCTCTCTTTCTCTCACACACATACAATGCATTCACACAACCTGTTGGTTTTACCCTCAAAATATATTTATAATATGACCACTTTCCCTCTACACTTAGTCTAAACTATCATCATCTCTTTTGCCTGGATTACTGCAGTGACATCCTAACTAATCTCCTGGCAAAATCATCTGTGGGGTTTGTTTCGACGCATTCAAGGAGCTCAACAAACATCAAGCGGGAGAAACTCAATGAGATCTACATCGAGACTCATTACAATCGAACTGTTGAAAACCAAGGGCTAACAGAGAATCTTGAAAGCAGCAAGAGAGAAGCGACTGCCACAGTCAAGGGAGCCCCAGTTATTTCTCATCGGAAACCATGGAAACCAGAAGGCAGTGGAATGACATATTTAAAGTGCTGAAAGAAAAACCTATCAACCAAGAATTCTATAGCTGGTAAAACTGTCCTTCAAAAATGAAGGAGAAATTTAGACATTCTCAGATAAACAAAAGTCAAGGGAGTTCATTATCAGTAGAAGTGCCCTGCAAGAAATGCTAAAGGGTGTACTTAAGTTGAAGTGAGAGGACCACACTAGACAGTAACTCAACAGTGTATGAGAAATAAAGGTCCCCTGAAAAGGTTAACTATATGGGCACATGTAAAATTGAGTATGATGGTGTGGTACAGTAAAGAATATATCTGATCTTTGTCCCTGGCTCCTGGCACAGAGCTTCAAAAACCCTTGGAATTTTCTGAATGACAGGAGTTCCTTTGTTATGCTAATGGAGTAACTCAACCTGGGTCCTGGACAGCTTCAGCATGGGGGCTGGTCACCAGAAGAATGGACCTTGGGGTTAGATGGTTGAAAATTTGGGCCAGGCTGACCTCCAGGAAGAGGAATGGGGGGCCAGAGACTGAATTCAATTTGTTTATCAGTTATGCCTACCTATTGCTGTCCTGATAAAGTCTCTGGAAACAGAGGCTTCCTGGTTGGTGAATATTGCTTTTCTGGGATGGTGGTGTGGCCAGATTTTGCAAGGAGAGGGCGTACAAGCTCAGTATCCTGCCTGGCTCCCCTAGACCTTGTCCCACGTATCTCTTCATTTGACTATTCTTGATCTGGATCCTTTATGATAAAACCATAATAGAAAGTATGGTGCTTTCAGTGAAGTCTGTGAGTTGTTCTAACAAATTATCAAACCTG